GGTTTGGGCTCCATCCCAGAGTGGGACGTAAGAGAGGCAGGTGATCCATGATTCTCTCTCATCCCCGATGTTTCTCTCTCTCTCCCTCTCCCTTCCTCTCCGAAATCAATAAAAAAAAAAATAGAACAAAGTCACTGATCGCACCCACGACGGTCCGGCCTCATGACGGAGCCCGACCGCCAAGCCTTCACCTCTGACCCCTCACACGGAGGCCTGGGCTTCAGTGCGTGAACTGTTGGGGACACGGCACCCCGTCTGGGGCGGCCGGAAGCCTGGGGCAGAGACCGCGGCGAGAGAACGGGCGGAATGCTGGGAGAGGCCGGGTCCCTCCGGGTCCCAGCCCTCGGCCGGCGACTTCCCTGGCCCCATCGCCTCCACACCGGCTCCCCGAGCTCCCGCCCAAGGACGCCTGCGACTTCTCATTTCCCTGCTCCACCGGCTCCGTCCCAGGCGACGAGATGCCGCACCGTGAGGCCCAGTTAATTTGCCTCCCAATGACAGCCGCGGTGTCAGGACAGCTCTCCGGTTCCGCCCGAGGACATGGCGGTGACCTCCTGCAGTTAGGTTAATAGGGTGCCTCCAGCTCAGCGAGGGACTGCCTCTAAACGGAGGGGAGCCCTGGCCGGTGTGGCTCAGTGGATAGGGTGTCGGCCTGCAGACCGGAGAGTCCCGGGTTCGATTCTGGTCAAGGGCATGTACCTTGGTTGCAAGCTCCGCCCTGGCCCGGGCCATGTTCAAGGAATGTGCAGGAGGCAGCCCATCGATGCGTTTCTCCCATCGATGTTTCCCTCTGTCTCTCCCTCTCTCCTCCACCCTCCCTGAAAATCAGTGGGAAATACCCTCAGACGAGGATTAACAAAACAAAACCAAGCACAGAGGGGAGCACGGTCCCAGCGGGGCAGCAAGTCTCCAGTTCCAGCGTCTAATTTCTGCGTCTCCAGGCACTTCCCTGTGGGATCTGATGTACCCAGTGACCACCGGACCCACCATAACCAGACCCACCATAACCGGGACCTTCCATAACCAGACCCACCATAACCGACCCATCATAACCAGACCCACCATAACCAGACTCATCATAACCAACCCATCATAACCAGACCCACCATAACCAGGACCTTCCATAACCAGACCCATCATAACCAGACCCACCATAACCGGGACCTTCCATAACCAGACCCACCATAACCAACCCACCATAACCAGACCCACCATAATCAGACCCACCATAACCGGGACCTTCCATAACCGGACCCACCATAACTGACCCTTCATAACCAGACCCACCATAACCGGGACCTTCCATAACCGGACCCACCATAACCAACCCACCATATCCAGACCCACCATAACTGGGACCTTCCATAACCGGACCTACCATAACCAACCCACCATAACCGGACCCACCATGACCGACCCACCATAACCAGACCCACCATAACCAGACCCACCATAACCGGGACCTTCCATAACCGGACCCACCATAACCAGACCCACCATATCCTGTCCCACCATAACTGGGACCTTCCATAACCGGACCCACCATGACCGACCCACCATAACCAGATCCACTATAACCAGATCCACCATAACCAGACCCACCATAACCAGACGCACCATAACCAGACCCACCATAACCAGCCCACCATGCCCCGGAAGCACCCAGGCTCTAGGCCAGAGGCAGCCCCTAGAGGGCGCCGTGTTCTGAGTGGAATGGGGTCAGGCCCTTCCCAGCTCTGGGAGGCTGAGTAATGGATGTAATTCCATAATTAATTCCGATGCCCGAGTTGCAGATAAGGCGGGAGGGCGTGGAGGGTGGGGAGACGCACCAAGGTCACGGTCAGTAAGCACAGAGGTGGAACCAAACCCCACCCCACCCCACCCCACCCCCCCGCTGCCCTCAGCTGCTGGGACCGCTGGTCAACAGCCACACGGCCAGGCACTGCCAGCCCCTCGGTCTCACCTTTGCCCTCGCCCTGACCTGCCCACACTCCCCGGTGTAGACTGGACTGTCCACCCTCAGGCCTCTCTCCTGCCGCAGCCTTGCCCTCCGACACGCCCCCCTGCCCTCTGACATGCCCCCCTGGTGCTAACGGGCACGGCCCCGGGAGAGGGAGGACCAGCGGGGCTCTGGGGTCTGAGCCCAGGGCCCAGGCCTTGGCGATCCGGGCGGCACCCATAGAGCTGCCTCCCGGGACCCGCCCTGACTGCACAGCCCTGGCAGGGCACTCCTGGAACCCGGCACCCAGAGATCCCCCGGCCCAGGGCCCCGGTGTCCCGTGGCCAATATGGCCGGCGACCTCCCAGTCAGAGCTGCCCTCGGGGAGGATGGCACTGGACACCGGGCTTTCCGGGAACTTTCTCCCATCGGAGGGAGAAGGGGCTCTGAGCCATTTTGCCACCAGCTCAGTACGTCCGTCTCAGATCAAAGAGGAATCCGGCCGGACACGGCACCGAGGCCGGACACGGTGGATGCGGCCGGGAGGCCAGCCTGTCCTGGAGTCCATGGGCGGAGCAGAGGAGGGCCTGGCCGCCCGCTCCCTGTGTCCTCGGTCCCTCTGTCCCTCTGTCCCTTGTCGCGGCCCTGAGAGCTGTCTGCCCGGCCAGCCCCGGGCGGTGCCCTGCTCTGCCAGGCACTGCTGGCACCTGGGTGCTCCGTCCTGGCCTGGTGCTATGCACCCACCTCCACACGGCGACCTCAATGTGAACCGGGCGCTCAGACGGGGGAGGGCTGCCGTCTGGGGCTGAGCCCGGAGCCTCAGGCTGATCAGCCTCAGGCCATGCTCAGCCTGCCCGTCACCCAGGGCCTGGCTTCAGGGCCCAGGAAAGAAGCCACAGAGCAGGCCCAGTCCTCGCCAGGCCTCCATGTCGCCCTCAGGCCTCCATGTCCCTCATTCCACCCCCCCAGCTGGAAGACGGCCAAGGCCCGCCATTCCCAAACCTGCAGGCCCAAACCAGCCGCTGAGTCAGCCAGGGGACGCCCATGTCCCCTCTGCCCACTCACTCAGCCGGGGAGCTTGGCCCCAAGGCTACAGCTCCGTAGAGGCCTCACACACAGCAGTGAATGGGGGCGGGGGTCATTCCCCCCAGATGCCCACCCTCTGGACGCCCCAGCTGACGGCTGCCCCTCCACAGCCCCACCGCACAGAGAATCCCGCGCTGGCTCGGGACTGGGGTGCTCCCTGGCTCCCTCTCGGCAAGTGAGCTGCTAATTGGAGACGTGACTCATAATTAGTCCTTGATTAATTAAAGATGGGAAAACTAATTACCTAATGAACGTCGTTGAACGAATCTTTGAAAACGGGCCGTCCTAAGAGGAGAGGGGAGGGTATTTAAGAGGGTCCGTGAGGGTCACAGCCGGGGTGCAGATTCGGCGGGCTCCCCAAGACCTCAGCCCCCAGCCCCCAGGCTGACACGGGGGAGAGTTGCCCCACTCCCCTTTCCCACCTGAGAGCAGGGGCCGGGGTCTGTCCGCTCACCCCTCCCTCTGTCCCGTGCCCCGGGCACCTCCCCGCGGCTGTGGGATGAATGAATGAATGAATGAATGAATGAGGGAGCGGGTCTCCCTCAGACCGAGTGTCCAGGGGGAAAGCTGTGTCTCGCACTGGGCTTTCAGCTCAGGTGGGGTTGAGCAGTTCGGTTCCCAGCAAAGGTGGCAGGCTCCATCCCCAGCGGGGGACGTGCCGGAGGCAGCCGACCGATGATGTTGTTCTCATCACGGATGTTTCTCGATTTCTGTCCCTATCCCTCCCTCGCTCTCTGAAATCAATAAAAGCATATATTTCTTAAAGTCAACCATGACCCCCTGCCCTCCCCTCGGCAGGCGCATGTCCACAGCAGTGCCAGTCCCAGCAGCCACAGAGCAGAGGCCGCCCCACGCTCTGCATGCGGGAGGCAGCTGATCCATGATTCTCTCTCACCATTGATGTTTCTCTCTCCCTCTCCCTTCCTCTCTGACATCCATAGAAATATGTTTTTTAAACGTGTGGACCTGGACGATGGTGCTGGACGAGCAACACCGAAAAGATGATGGGAATGACGCTGAGCTGTGCACATTTTCAAGGCTTAAAACGATCGTTATTAGGTTCCCTCCGTTTTTACCGTAATAACGGTTTTTCCATGAAAGTCTAAAAGGATCGCCGGGATAAACAGCCCAGGGCCCAGCCCCACCTCCCCAACGGCGGTGCCCCGGGGGGGGGGGGGGGGGGGCGTCCTGGGAAAGGCTTTCTGACCCGCAGCAGGGCCTCCCCCGGCGACGTCTCCCCTGCACCCTGAGATCCGGAGGGGCTCCCCCACCCAGCACCCGCCTGGCACAGAGCCGGAGCCTCGGAAACCCCGGGCCTGGGGGACCCCGGGCGCTGGAAGGACGCCTTGCTGCGATGCACTCGCTCCCTCTTGTTCCTTCTCACCTCCCTGTCTCCTTCCGCCTCTTTTCCAACAAACATCAATTCCAGGCTTCCACAGAAACAATGAATCTCTTGTGGCGCGGAGAGAAGCAATTAGCCAATTAAAATTTAATTAACTGTGGGCGCAGGCAAAAGAAAAAAAATCATGCTCACACCCGGTGGAGCTGGAGAAATTCAAGCTCCTGGCCGTCGGAGCGGGACCTCAGGGTAAAGGACGTGGGGGAGAAAGAGAGGGGAAAAGGCGGGAGCCCGTGGGGACCCCAGAGGCACCCCTGACGCCATCACGCAGTCATCCCGCCAGCCCTGCAGCTGACCCGCAGGGAAAGTGAGGCCCGCGAGGAGCAGCGACCTGCCTGCCTGTGGGTGAGGACCAGCGGCGAAGCCGGGCCTGTATGCACCCCGCCTGCCCCTCCCCCCCATCCCAGGCTGCTCCACCCGGTGTGAGGGCTGCGCACCGGAGTCCCTTCTGTTGGCACACATCCGCCTGCACCTGCGGGACAGACGGATGGACGGGACGGGACAAGGTGCTTACTGGGCCCCTGCCATCCAGCTGCTTCGGCCGCCAACCTGGGGGCAGACGGAGGGGGCACTCACCTTCCCGAAGTCTCGGACATCGAAGAGGTCAAAGGGGTCGAACAGCTCGCTGTTCCTCAGCCCGAACTTGTCGTGGCAGACCTTGAGGAAGGTGCGGATGTTCTTCAGGCACAGGAACTGCGGGGAGAGGGGGCGTGAGCCTGGAGCCGGCGAGGACGCCGCGGCCCAGGGGCCGGCACGGACAGACGGCGGCCGCGCACCTGCTCCCGCTCGGGAGGCGCCCGGGGGTGGCCCACCGCCCGGCGTCACCGACTGCCCAGCCCTCCGCCACCCAGGACCGTGCACCCCCGCCGCCCCCCACCCCGGCCCCGTCCGAGGGGACCAGCGCATTTCCACCCGACAGTCTCCACTGGAACTAAGATGGAGGGTGCGCCCACACGCACACACGGGCACGCATGCAGGTGCTCACACATACGCACACACAGCACAGGTACACACACCTGCACCTCCCTGGGCACACACTGACCACAGCTGCTCCACAGGTGACAGAGCCGACAGCGGGAAGCAGGCCTCACACGGGAGCAGCACAGGCCCCTCCGCGGGGACTGGAGCAAGCACACAGGCCAGAGTCCCCAGATCCAGGCGGCTCCTCCCGTCCTCACCCCCCCACCCCCGCACCCCAACACCAGGGCGCACACACACACACACAGTGAGGGGCACACAGGCACAGACCCGGGGGAGGCACTGTGACGAGGGGCAGAGACCAGGTGCTGCTCTCAGGAGTGGAGGCGGAGGCGGCCAGGGAACCAGAGGGCGCGGCCCCGGGACCCCGAACCCCAGGAGGTTGACCTTGGCCCCGCGGCCTCCGGGGCGGGAGCGGACAAATCACTTCGTGGCCTTAGCACCCGGGTCCGGGGGGCACACAGCACCCGAGCCTGCACCCGGGAGGGGGTGCCAGGCCAGCCTTCTTCCTGCCCGTGCCAGCCCCACCTCCCCCTCCCCACCCAGACGCGCAGCTGCCAGCGGCTCCGCTATTTCTGCTCACCATCGTCTCTAATTCCCTCTAAGCGTTTATTTTCATTCCTCCTGCCTCCGCTTTTAGCGGTAATTACACAGCGCCTCCCACGACCAGCCGGCACCTGCTTCCTTCGGGCTCAGGGCAGGGCGCGGCCTCGGCCGGCCTGGCACACTCCCTCCCTCCCAGCCGCCCAGGCCCTCACCGTCCAGGCACGCTGCGGTCAGCGCCAGCCGCCGGGCCCTCACCGTCCAGGCCCGCTGTGGTCAGTGTCCAGGCCCCTCACCGTCCAGACCCGCTGTGGTCAATGTCCAGGCCCCTCACCGTCCAGACCCGCTGTGGTCAGTGTCCAGGCCCCTCACCGTCCAGACCCGCTGTGGTCAGTGCCAGCCACCGGGCCCTCACCGTCCAGGCCCGCTGTGGTCAATGTCCAGGCCCCTCACCGTCCAGACCCGCTGTGGTCAGTGCCAGCCGCTGGGCCCTCACCGTCCAGGCCCGCTGTGGTCAGTGTCCAGGCCCCTCACCGTCCAGACCCGCTGTGGTCAGTGTCCGGGCCCCTCACCGTCCAGACCCTCACCGTGCAGGCCCACTGTGGTCAGCGCCGGCCGCCCAGGCCCTCACCGTCCAGTCCCTCACCATCCAGGCCCGCTGCGGTCAGCGCCGGCGGCCAGGGCCAGCCTCTTTGAGGCGCACAGACCGCCGGGCCTCAGGGGAAGGGACATGGCGCGTCAGGGACAAAGCAGATGCCAGGAGCCGGCTGGGTGCCCAGGCGGCGGCAGTGCCCTGGGCGGCAGGCGCTGGGCTGCAGGTCTGCCCACAGGCGCCAGGACACCGAGCTCAGGCAGTGAGGAAGGCTGGTTCCCGATGTGGCGGAGCTGAGACTTGAACCCATGAGCTTCTGGGCGGTGAAGGCCCCTCGTGAGAGCAATCTCCGGGGGCCCTGGGAGCCGGGACCCCCGTCCTACACACCTGTCCCCCATCCCCTTCCATCTCCTAAGGAGCCGGTGTCCTGCACAGTAATGTGGTCCCTGCAGTGAGAGAAACCGAGGCCCAGGACGGAGGGGGCAATTAGGGAAGCCGAGGCCCAGGACGGGGAGGGTCGTTAGGGAAACCGAAGCCAGAGGGGTGGGTGCCGGTTCTGGGAGGCCCTGCAGGTGGGCTGAGCCGACGCAGGTGTCATAGCTACAGGTTGAGGGATGGGGCAGGGAGGCCAGACCCCGGCCAGCGCCAGCCCAGAAGCTGCCCGCCCTGTCCTGTGGCAGCAAAGGCCAACCAGCCAGGGGCGGGCCTGCGGCTCCGGGCCTGGCACCGTCCCCCACGAGGCGGCCGCAGCCACCGGAGCGTCTGTCTCCAGAAACTGGCCCGACAAGCGGCCAGCGCCGAGCCAGACCCGCTGGGCTTGTGGAGGGGCCTCCATGGGGCATGGGCACCCCACCTCACCCCCCACCCCCACCCATAGAGGCCTTCTGTCCAAACAAAGCCCCTGCAGGCCCGGCGGGGCGCCAGGAGGCGGGCGGCCAAGCAGACACGTCGGCCTCCCGGCCCTAATGGCCTCAAATGCGATTAGCTAGCTTGCGGCTCAGGCTGCAGCTCGGGCTCCGGCTCCGGCTCCGCGCCCAGCGCCCCGGGCTGCGGGCACCACCGGGCTGCTGCTGGCTGTCAGCTGTCAGTTAGCTCTCTGAGGGCCCGGCGGGGAGCCCGCCGCCAGAGCCAGGACCTGAGTCCCAGTGCGCCCCGGGGACAGGGGGCTGGCCCACTGTGGCCACGTGGTGCCCACCTGCTGACTGGGAACGGGGACAGCCCCCTCGCCAAGGCGCCACGGAGGCCTGTCACCCTGAGGAGCGCCTCGGGGTGCTCGGCCCCCCCCCCCCCCCCCGCATCCAACACACACGGGGTACCGGGGCCCTGCTCCGCCCCCACACCACCTCGCACACCCCAGCACTGACAGGCAGCTGCAAAATGGGAAACTGAGGCAAGGAGAGGAGAAGCCACCGGCCTGAAGTCACACCCTCCACATTGCAGACCCCGCAGACAGTGAGTCCGGTGCTGAGAGCCCTGGCCTGGCCGCCGGGCCGTGCCTCGGTGTTTCCGTCTGTAAAATGGGGAGAAGCCTCTGCCCTCGGACTTCCAGGTGCTGGGAGACACCTGTTCTAAGGAGCCACGGTTGGCAGGGGGCTCCTTAGAACAGGTCCCGCAGTGCCCGTGCCCAGAGCACCCGGTGAGGGCAGGCCCTGGTGGAGCGGAGGCCGGGGCTTGCCCTCCAGGGCCCCCCTGCCCCTGACCAGGGCCCACTGGAGCTGGGAGTGGCCGCACCCAGAGGACCTGGCCCCCCCCCCCACACCTCCGCAGGCCTCTCTGACCAGCCTCCTCAACGGCACTGCCCGGGCTGGGCTGGGCTGGGCGGGGCGGCCCCGGGCCACCGAAGGCCGGGAGAAGGTCTGTCGGAGGCTCTGTCACAGCCAAGCCGGGGGATAACGGGGAGGGGACAGCACGCTCCCCACCCCAGCCTCAGGGAGGCCTGGCCACACAGCCCCGCCAGCCCAGCCTCAGGAGAACAGGAATTCTCTTACAACCTCTGCCTATCCCGAGGGGGTGGGGGTCCCCACATCTGAAGCCCGTACGGGACAGCAGAGGCCCTAGCGCGCCCGCAGACACCCCGCGTGTCCTTGAGCGGTTTCAGCGAGCGGCACTAACCCCGTCCCTCTGCTGAGCCACACGCCGAGGGGGGCAGGAACCCTGGGGCCGCCCTGCCGGGCCGCCAATCACCCGCCTGGACTGGCAGCCGAGCGGTCTGCGATCAATATCAAATGGAAAAGGAAATTGTCTGCCTTACGTAAGCCCTGCTGATTCCAAAAGATACTGAAGACATCCTCATTCTCCGTTAGCAGAGGCAGCTGCCGAAATGCAGCTTTCGAATTCGGGGCCCTTGGGGTAAGCAGGTGGCCTTGTGGTAGCCAGCCAGCCCACGTCCAGGGGGCAGCAGCAGGGACCTTCTCCCTAAACACCCTGGACAATGGCCTGCCACAGGGGCTCCAGATCGAGTGAATGCGCCCACATCGGTGTGGTTCAGTGGATGGAGCGTCGGCCTGCGGACTGAAAGGTCCCAGGTTCGATTCCGGTCAAGGGCATGTACCTTGGTTGCGGGCACATCCTCAGTAGGGGGTGTGCAGGAGGCAGCTGATGGATGTTTCTCTCCCATCGATGTTTCTATCTCTATCCCTCTCCCTTCCTCTCTGTGAAAAATCAATAAAATAAGTTTTCTTAAAAAAGACCGAGTGAATGCACGGGGAAGTGGAGGGGGGAGGAAGGGCTGTATCGGAGACCTCAGCCGGCATCTCTGGCAGCGGCAGGCACTGCCGCCGGACTCAGCCCTCCAACACGTCCCGGAGCCACGCGGACACGCAGGGAGGGGTGGACCCAGCGCGAACCCCAGCGGTCGGGTCCAGTCCCATGGTCTCGTCCACCATGCCAGGCTCCTCCCATGAGACCCCCGAAGCCACGGGCAGGGGACGCCTCTCAGGGGCCGAGGCCGAGCCAGGTTGCGGTGGGGACGAGCTGCTCAGAGGGGGGCTGCAGGCCCTGCCCCAGGGTCCCGGCGAGGCAGTGCCCCCCACCCCCGCAGGGCAGCCCTCAGCCGTGACTGCAGCCATGACCGCCAAAGTGACTCAAAGGCCCCAGCCTCCGAGGCAGACAAGTCCAGCCTTAGCGAGTTCCTGACCCCTGACACCGCCTCAGGATGCCTGCCACAGGGACGCAAACAGGGTTCTGGTGCACTCTGGCCAATTCCGGGAAACTGGACAGGAGCTCCGCCTCGGCCCGGCCACGCCCCTCCCCCTCGGCTCCGGGGAAGGCGGCGGCTGTCTGGGCGCTGTAGACTGGGCCGACGCGGCTCCGCTGGGCTCGGGCCCCTGGCCATGTGTGCCCACCCACCAGGCTCCCCCTCCCGGGGCCATCGGCCGCACCTATGGACAGTTGCCACCATGAAACCGAAGGGGCTTCCCAGCGTCGCTGGGAGGGGCTCAGGGAGCCGCAGAAGCAGGCTCTGAACAGGGTGAGGGGGTCGTGCCCTCGGGCACCAGGGCGGCCGGCCAGCAGCCACGCAGGCCAGGCCGTGCCAAGCTGGGGATGGCTGCAGAGCGGTGCCCTGACCTGATGGCAGAGG